CCAGTGGCGCTGCAGAGGCGACGGTGAGGTTGGTGGGGCATCCCGTCGCTGGTAGCACTCCGTTAGATCGGATTAGGTTTCTGTGAGTGGGATTGCGGCGGCTCCGGACAACTTCGTTCGTTGAGCTCAGTTCCCCACTCCTCTATTTATATGTGTTGTACGACAGGGGCCACCAACCATATTAGGGTTGGGCGCCCCCGATCAGGACGCAGAGGCAAGAGCCCAATAGACCGTTGGACCTATTGGTGGAGATCAACTAACAGGCCTCATAGCATGGTTGCTTAGCATTACTCAGTGATGGAGCTGCTAGCATAGTAGTAATAATACCACCTGTGCTTGTGCCAGCGATGACATCAAAGTAGTTAGCTATGCGTGCGTTGCTCCCATCAAGCTCCTCAAACTTGCATGTGTGCATAGAGAAGATGTCAGTTACCTAAGCAGATAAAATTTCAACTGTCCGGTGTCCGGTGATCAAAACTATGTTATGTCGATAATAGTGACGATGTGAGAAAAACTGCTAAGCTATATATACAGTAAACATGTAGAATTTACCTGAAGTTTAGACTCAAGGAATGCAAGGAAGGTGCAGGGATGATACCCTTAACCCCACCACCATCGATACTCAGGGCTGTGATCAGGTTTCCCTTGCTCGGTGGTGGGCATGCATAATTATTTTCCATTGCAATGGCAAAGAAGTATGATCTGTGACCGTCTTCTCAGCTTTTGTTAAGGTCAAGTACTCATGAATTCTGACCTTTGAAAGGCTATTTATAGGCGTGGAGGCAAAAGACAACTCATACTGAAAAAGCAAAAAGTTTTGATTTGGCAAGCTTATCCGAGATGGTTTCGGCACTGTTTCTCTGGAAGTATCTTTATGCACTTGTCCAATAAGATATGTAATTTACACTGTAGGGATTGCCCATATGTTCGACACCTTCAAGACCCTGTTCTTTTTTGTTCTGATTTTTCTTTACTTCTAATAGAAATACCATATGAGTACAAGCTTGGTTATCCTGCAATAGTCATATTGAGACACAACTGGGCAAGTAAATATTCATCCTTTATGATTTAGAAGTACTACTTTATTTTAGCTTTTAGTTTCTTTGAGTCTTATCTTAGTCCAAATTGAGGATTGAGTAAGACAAACAAATAGAGATTGAGTAAATGGAACCTTGGAACCTTCGAAAAATCATCAACTCAACATTATTGTTGATAAACTCAGAACCCTGCTCCTTGGACGTGAACCTAGCGTCCTCTGCTGTCATCTATTTTGGATGTACAAAAGAAACATAGGAAGATTTACTTGCACAGCATAACATTAAGGAAGTTCTCCTCTTAGTGAAACACGTGCCGAGGCATGTATGCGAAAAAAAAAACATTAAGGAAGTTCTGAACTTAAGATTATGATTATGTTTCAGTAAAGAGTGTCAGGACTTGTATAGCACAAGTACACAACTTCAACTTTCTAGCCACCATGACAAGGATTGTGGTAACAAGTGAACTTTTTTTTTTTACTTTTAGCATTTATGTAAGCTACTATAAATTAAATTGTAAACAAGACGTGGAAATTTCCTAAAAATGATAGAGCCAAAACTTTTGTAGGGAAAGATCGAAATAACATTCAGTCCATAGTTGTTTATCTTATCCCAATATCATTACACTACACCATGTGACATAGTAGTGTGTCATGGCATCAGCTACCCTATGAGTAATTAAACCATCAGGGGTAGAACCAGCTCAAAAAAACTGAAGTAATGCGCCCTGGCATAGTAGCTTTTTTCGGAAACGCTACTTGTTGTGCGTCCGATGGACCGCACAAACATCGGACGGTTTTTCCACCCCACCGCTTGCTCCCTCCCGCATGTATATTAAAAAAATCCCTTAGCTTCCTCATCCCCTTCCTTACCCTTCTACGCTCCTCATCCCCTGCCACAGCGCACCAACGCCCGACGTCCTCCCCCACCCTGGCGTCCTCACCGGGAGCCCTAAATGCCCAAAGATCCGGCAACCCTCTCCCGCATCCTAGGGAGATCCACTCAGCTCCAGCGAGATCTATGGAGGTGGCGCGACGGTATTGTCGGGGAGTGGGCGGCTCTCCCCACCCCGGCGCGGCGCCCTCGCCACCCCGGCGACCGAGCTCCCTCCATCCCGGGGGCCATGGCGCTCCCCATCCCTAATCCCCCACTGTCGCCGCCGAGCCAAGCTGGTTGCCGGTGGCGCTGGTGGTGGTGGTGCTCGCGCTCGCCGCTGGTGCTAGTGTCGAGTGGTGCTCGCGCACAGCCGCTTGCCGCCAGCTCCCACCCAGTTAGTCGGAATCAAACGGCCCAAACCTCTCTCCCCCTATGTTGCAAATATATGTTTCAATTGTTTCAGACGTTTCAGAGGCATGTTGCAAAAGTAGATCGGGGGATGTTGCACATGTTGCAAGCGTTTCAGAGGCATGTTGCAAGTATTTATTCAAACTGTTTCATCTGTTTCCATACGTATGTTGCAAGCGTTTTGATATGGATGTTGCATATGTTTTCACACATACGTTGCAACAGTATGTTCCAAAATATTTCATTTGTTTCAGTTTTTTTGTTGCAGCAAGTGTTTTCATGTTGCAAGTGTTCTATCTAGATGTTGCATATGTTTCATACATATTTTGCAAGTGTATATTAGATGTTTCATCTGTTTTAAACGTATGTTGTATTCAAGTGTTTCATGTTGCACGTGTTTCCTGCTGTTCGGAGAGTCAGGGGGCACCAGGGAATAGGGCGCGGCGAGCCAGTGGCCGGCGGTCGGGGGCACGACGGGCGGGGGTGCGCGTGCGGGGCTGGGGGTGGGGCGAACAGATGGGGATGGGGGGCACCTGCGGGGGCGGGGCGAATGGTGGCGTCGAGACGGACTTGTTAGGTGTGCGGGCGGACGTCCGATGGAATTCATCCCATCGGACATCCGTGCGCTAGCATTTCCCCTTTTTCTTTGATGCTGACCAAGACTGAAGTGATGAAAATCTATAAAAGAGCATTCAAAATTGAGCAAACCCGTGATGTGAAACATTAATACCGTGTAAATTGCCCAAGGAGCATTACGAAGTTCTGATTTGATTGCCTTCACCTACTTCCGAGTGCCTGAGGTTTCTGAACCCCAATTCCCAAATCAACACATTGGCTGCTCATCATTCTGCCTCCAAAATAGCTAAGAAAAAAAATCAGCGATTTTGCTTCATTATATGCAAAGTTGCCGAAAGGCGCGACCTCCTGCTTAATCTCAAATCACAAGTGGGAGCGGAGTGCCGCGTTACGCATACAAGGTGTTCATCACTAGCTCAATCCGCAGTCAGCAGCAGAACAAGTTCGCCGCCACGGAAGCTGTAGCGTTGTAGAGCGATTGGATGCCGCGGCGACCGCCGCGCCTCATCCATCTCGTCTCCTTTTATCCTTCTCGTTTGAGTGCGGAGGCTTTGGGGATGGGGAAACGCGCGAGTGCTCTGGTCGGCGGGCATGGAGGCGGTCTGGCCTCAGACGAAGCGGGTTGGCGGGGACCGGAGCGGAGACGCTATGGTCGTGGTGAGATCGCCGGTCGCCGTGGCGGCGGGGTCGGCTGGTGGAGATGGAGCTCCTTGACTGATCCATATTCCTCAATCGGACCGCACAGTTCGGATCTGACGGCTGCAGGTTGCCCCATTTTTCAAAAGAAAAGGTCGGTCCCTGACTTCCTTTATATTCGTTCCATCCCAAATTATAAAACGTTTGACTTTTTTTATCCCAAATTTGACAACTCTTGAAGTCAAATTAAAGTCATTTTTGAAGAACTTTTATTAATAAAGCAAGCTACGACAAAAGAAGTAATATTTTACATAAATTTTTGAATAAGACGAGTGGTCAAATTTGATGTAAAAAAGTCAAATGTCTTGTAATTTGGGATGGAGGAAGTACAACCTTTTGCATTAACCCCTAGAAAAAGGATCTAACTCGCCGACAAGAGATTTTTATAATTGACATCACAATTCAGATTTTGATAATTGACATCACAATTCGCTAGCTTTTTAAGATTTGACACTCATCACAATGATATATAGGATCAACCTGAGGGTTATTGAAAGGCTCACGAATTAGATGAAGTTTAATGAAGCGAAACAGGTATGGGGATAACATGGATTATCCACAGTGGATAATGCCATTACCCATTCTATCGGCCTGCGGCTTCCAGCGAATTATGGCGGCTAGCCTTATTTTGCAAGGGTTAGCCCAGCGCGGGACGTCTTCTGGCAGCGCAAACGAACCCTATGGCATAGCAATGACTGACAAGACGCGGAACATCATAGGCAACAACGGCACAAGCAATGACGATGACTTATCGACTGGTGGCTTTGTCAACGAGATGGTGATGCGTGGTGTAGTGTGGCAACCATCTAATAGGGATGTGGAGCGCTAATATGGCGGAGCGGTGTAGTGGTGTACAGCTACAACGAGGTAAGATATGGCAAAGACTTGTGGTGAAGTGTGATTGTTATCCCAATCCAACCGTCTGCTGCCTTTAGTTGCTTTAGCTGTTTTCTTTTTGTTGCTAGTTTGTTGTTTTCTACTGTGGTGATCCTTTTGGGATCACTGTTGCTCTGTTGTTTTTCTTGTAGATAATCTCTTAGGGCTATTTGCTTGTAATTTCTACTATATCAATAGAAACAGATAGTGTCACCGTCAGTTCGTTCAATAAAAAAAATGTCATTACCAATTCATTATTTAACAGAGAGACGGCAAGATTTGGGTAAAAAATATTCCTTTCACGACCAACAAATGAACAAATACTTGTGTGAATATGAGCAGGCGCGATTACCTATACATTTCGGTTTATTCTAAAGCCTCCAACAGTAAGAGAACTTTATACACCTTGTCGAGGAATGTAAATATACATACACTTGAAAGAATTAGACTCCGAGAACGAGAGGGTACCGAGGAATGACTTGTAATGAACTCTCATGTATACAGACTTCGCCAAGCTGCCACAACTGGACCAAGCTACCGTCCAGCCGCTTTCAGGAACTTGTCGTATGGGCTAGCAGGTGGCAGCCTGAACGAACAGTCAGATTCGCTGGATGCTGAATCGCAACGGCGCATGCGACCCTTCCTCAACTCTGGCTCAGATCGCAAAGAAGACTGCAGCGCGTGACAAGTGAGGACAGTTAGCTAAGATCTGAATAATATTTTCCACAAGAAGGAAAAGATATGGAATCTGAATGAAACATCGTCGGTAGATTTCTCAGACAAGACATACATACCTCATTCGTTTCGAGCCCATCCACACCGGCTGAACCATGCGAGTCAGTCCTCGAGTGCTTGAAGCTCAAGAGAACAGACATCTTCTGTTGTTTTTCCATGACCAGGGCTTCACACTGACTCTTCATTTGGTCGTATGGTACAGGGTTGGCGGAAACTGGAACATTAGCAACTTGCCTTGCAGTCTCATGAACCTGCATGGCAAACAGCACCACGTAAAAACATGATGGCACATGGTCTAAAGCTAATATAGGTGTGGAGGTCAGTAGATAAGGGCACATACAGATTCTATTAGTTGATTGACAGTTAGAACATCTGACGAGGCCATGGAACCTGACGTTTTCCTGTCAGATTGAGATCCACTATGCTCAAAGATGATGTCGTCGTCGTCTAGCTCAGAAGGAACAGTATCCTGTGGACAGGAGATGAGCAGACAAAAAGAACAGGTTACAACAGCAATACTGCAATTGTCAATACTAACATTGTAACACAGGATCAACTATTTTGTGAAGGATCAGTAGCTACCTCATCAAAACATTGTTCATCCTTTTCTGCATACACTAAACAAGAGTGTGGCGTCTCCATGAATAGTGGGGCACCAAGAGGAAATGAATCATCCAGAGAAAACTCTTGAAGAAGTTGTTCTTCTATCCCATTAAACTTCTGAAGATCACAGGTAAAGACAATCGGTTATCTATTATGTCATTGGTTCGAGACAAATAAATAAAAAATACTAACAAGAGCTAAACCCACACCTCTGGTAAATTTTCAAACTTCTCCTTAAAGTGGCACATCACGGTTTCTATTAGTTCCGTGTCATGCTTGTTTATGGCTGAAAGAAAGGCCAGTGCATCACTTTCATCTTCCTCAGAACCATAAACCATCTCACTGTTAGATGACTCTGCAGAGGTATTAACTAGTTGGCAGTCATCCATCAAGCAAAGATGAGGGTCAACCTGCAAAATCAACAAAAGAGTAAGTGCAAACTCGAACATTACTAGACAAACTGCGTCCACAGACAGGTGCACACTGTAGAAGTTAAGTCCTGCTCCCAGTTATCACTTAGTTATCTGTGCTTAATTATGTTTCTGCTATTAAGGCCTTGGGCAGCACAAGTGACTGTGCAAGTACCCAGGCAGTTAGCTGTTTAGTTAATGCTCTAATGAGCCATCAATGTAATCAATGTGCTACTTATCTCCTATATATGAAAGAGTAGTCGCCTGGGTTTGTAAGCCCTGGCTGATTATTTCTCTGTTACCTCCAACATTTGGTACCAGAGCTTAGGTTAGACACCTTCTCACCTTCTCATCTTCTCCATGACGTCAACCTCCTCTGAGCGCCGGGCTAGGAAGACCAAGGGAGCCACTGAGGGCGAGCTGGCGACCCTTCTGTCAGGCTCTGCGCGCTGAAGGCAGCAGAGAGGAGGCGCGCGCTATCTATCAAGCTAAGGCGGCATGATGAAGTCGCAAGAACCATGAGGCGGGCGGCGCCAGATAGCAGGAGCTGCGGGGAGATAGCAGCAGAAGAGAAGGAGATGAGGAGGAGGAGGAGGAAGAAGAAGAGAGGACCGGAGGAACCGGCGGCCATGGACTCCTTGCCATGGGGCAAGCGCCGTTCATATCCTGCTACGTGACCGGCGCGCGTCGTGGCGGCGGTCGCTATGAGTCGCCGCAAGGCGTGGTGGTCTACCGCGATTCCGCAATGCGCACATCATGGCCAATGCTGGACAAGACCAATTATTATGAGTGGAGCCGACGATGAAGCTCGGGGATGCGGTAGCGCCCTCTGGAAGCCATCGAAGGAGGCCCAGTCACAGGCCATGACGACAGCGAAGCTCTGGAGGTGATCGCCGCCGCCGTGCCCAAGGAGTTGGGGCTCCCGCTCCTAGACAAGGCGACGGCAAAAGAGGCATGGGATGCCATCGCCTGCGACTCAGACGGTGTGGGCGTGGTCCGCCGAAGCGGCGCGGCAGCGATATCGCATAGGAGTGGGAGAACATTGACGCTAAGCTGGCGAGCCGGTGGAGGATTTTGCCTCGCGGTCGCCAACTCTGCACCAAAGCGGGTGCTTCATGGAGACAGAGGACATCGATGAGGCGCGTGTTGTGGAAAAGTTTCTTGGCATGAATCGTCGTTGCCATTGAGCGCCTCGACTTCGAGGCGCTCACGCTTGAAGAGGTGACAGAAGGCTCAAAGGCGGTGGACGGCCGTGAAGCGCAAGCCGTGATGTGAGCCGGTGTCCATCAACGGCAAGTCAGCTTTACACCGAGGAGCGATGGCGTCGCTGCGTTGAGAAGGAGAAGAAAGGTGCAAAAAGAAGTCGGGCGGTTCTAGTTTCAAGAACCGGTACAAGCGGTGGCGGAGGACCCACCATGAGGTGGACGCGGACGGGACGGGCAGAGGTGCCGCCGTGGCGGCAGACGTGGAGAAGGCAATGGCGCCGGCCGTGTTGGCTAACACGTGTCTCAACCGCCATCGGGAAGGGCATTGGGCGCGTGAATGTCTCCACCAACCGTGATGGAACAGAGCCGCGGGGGAGGAAATCATGGTGACGCGGCGGCGGCGAAACTGGAAGAGGCCGTGGGCAGAATTAACAAAGCAAGCAGCAAGGAGGACATGAAGGCGTGCCAGTTTTTTCAAAGTGTGAGGAAGATGCAGCTCTGTTCCTGTCTCACGGCTTCATTGAGATGGAACAGAGCACGCCGGAGCTCAACTATACAGCGCAGCGCGTTGAGTTCTTTGAGCCACGTGCGCGTGCTTATCTGGGAGCAGATGATGAAGAGATGGCTGGCGGCTGGTACCTTGATTCAGGCGCAACACACCACATGATGGGCGGGCGTGACTGTTTTCGCACTGAACACCACGGGACGTTCGAGGCACGGTTCGGTTCGGGGACGCGTCCAAGGTGGAAATCAAGGGCGTTGGCTCAATTGTTTTTGAAGCAAAGACTGGTGAGCATCGTGTTCTTCATGGAGTTTATTTCATTCCGGCGTTGAAGAACTCGATCATGAGCCTCGGTCAACTTGATGAGAATGGCTCAAAGGTGGTGATTGATGATGGAGTATCATGGATTTGGGAGCAGGCCGGTGGGTCGCCATCGCCAAGGTGAGGCGTGGCGCGAACCGGGTCAGATGTATCTGCATATGAAGACCAAGACCCGATTAAGGTCTTCTCTTGCTGCAGGATGAGGAAGCGTGGAAATGGCATGAGCGTTTTGGGCATCTGAATTTTGAGGCCTCATGAGGCTTGGCAAGGAGGAAATGGCAAGAGGGATGCAAAGATCGATCATGTTGAGCAAGTGTGTGACACTTGTGTCACCACCAAACAGAGGAGGCGATCATTTCTGCTGCAAACAACATATCGTGCTCGAGATCACCTTGAATTGGTGCATGGTGATCTCTGTGGACCGATTACACCAAAGAACTTCGCAGTAATCGTTATATTCTCATTGCTTGTAGATGATGCCACACGATTCATGTGGGCGGTCTTCTTTGTCATCTAAGGATGCTTTGCAGCAGATGCTATCAAGAAGGTGAAGGCTGCTGCAGAGGTGGAGAGTGGGCGAAATGAAAGTTCTGCGCTACATGATAATGGAGGAGAGTTTATTGTTGCGAGAATTTGTCGCTTATTGTGCCAATGAAGGAGTCAAAAGGCATTACGAGTGCTCCTCATTCACCACAATGAGAATGGCGTGGTGGAGCGTAGAAATCAAACCGTGGTGGCCATGGCACGTGCCTTACTCAAGCAAATGATGCCGACCAAGTTTTGGGGGAGGCGATGATGATCTACTTTGGCATATTCTCAATCGGTCACCAACCAAGGCTCTAGGTGATATCACTCCCTATGAAGCATGGCATGGCCGAGCACCCACCGTTGGCCATCCCAAGGTGTTTGGTTGTGTGGCATATACTCTGCTTTGTCTCAAATCGAGAAACTTGATGATCGTGGTGAAGCCGGAGTATTTATTGGCTATCTTTGAAGGAGCAAAAGCCTATCGAGTTTTTGATCCAAAGATCTCGGTGATGTACGTGTCGGCACCGAGATGTGGTTTTTGATGAAGGAAGAGGTTGGGATTGGACATCACCAGCAGGCAGTACGTCTGGGCAGCGTGGTAGTGATTTTGTGGTGGAATTTCCTTGGGAGGAAGAAGTCCTCGGAGTCGGGTTTCAGAAGCAACACTCATCTCTCAAATTTTACGCCTCACTGAAGCCTTCCCAATGAGCAGAATCGGTGCTTGATACAGAGAAGAGGTGTCTGAGACATCCGAACGCCTTCACCATCACCACTTCCAGCCACCCACAAGTGGAGCACGTGACTCCTTGGAAGATGATGAGGAACAATGGATACTTATCACAACAACATTTAGCAATGTACAGCTATCGCACCATAGATGGCATATTGGGCGGGAACAGAAGTTCTGCCACCGTAGCAAGCCACTTGTTCAGAGCTCCACCTCACCCACTGGGAACCCATTTCTTATGCAGAGGGCAAAAGATGATCCCGCATGGCAAAAACAATGAAAGAGGAGTCACTACTGTTGAGCGCAATGGCACTGGGAGCTTGTGTCTCCCGAGTGGCCATCGGCAAATTTCTCTAAAATGGGTCTACAAGCTAAAGAAAGATGAGAAAGGAGATGTGATCAAGCACAAGGCTCGGCTTGTTGCTCGTGGGTTTGTGCAAACAAGAGGTGTTGATTATGAGGATGTGTTCGCTCCATTGCGCGCATAGAATCAAGTGAGACTGCTGCTTGCTCTAGCTGCCCAGAAGGATGGACTGTCCATCATATGGATGTCAAGTCGACTTTTCTAAATGGAGAGCTCAAGGAAGAAGTATATGTCCAAAGACCACAGGTTTGCTATTCACAGGAAGAAAAGCAAGGTATATCGCTTTGCACAAAGCTTTGTATGGGCTGGGCAGCACCTGTATGTGGAACGCTAAGTTGGACTCTACTACTCAAGGAAATGGGGTTCAAACAGAGCAAACATGAAGCGAAGAATCTACGTGAAAGGTTCAGAGGGCTCGGTGTTGCTTGGTTGGGGTCTATGTTGATGATCCGATCATCACTGAGCGATCAAAGATGAAGTAAAGGCTTTCAAGGAAAGGATGAAATCCACCTTTGAGATGAGTGACTTGGGTTTGCTCGGTTTCTACCTTGGCATTGAAGTGCAAAAAGGCAAGAATGGGATCACCATGAGGCGTACTCACTATGCCAAGAAAATCCTAGAACTGGGAAGCATGTCTCGATTGCAATCCAAAGCCTACACCAATGGAAGAGCGCTGGCTCAAAAAGCATAGCATCGCCAAGGAGGTGAATCCAACTCAAGATAGGAGGTCAAGTTGGAAGCTTGAGATACCTGGTTCATACCAGGCTGATTTGGCTTTCTCGATGGGCTATGTGAGCAGATTCTTGGAGAAACCGACCAATCGAGCACCAAAGAAGCGGTCAAGAGGGTGCCGAGGTACTTGGTCGAACATTGGACTATGGTCTGCAGCTCAAAAGAGCCCCAAATTTCTGCTAGGTTTGTGGGCTATCGTGATTCGACTCAGCCGGTGATATTGACTCAAAGAAAAGCACAACAGTTGTCTGTTCTTTTTTAGCAACAACAGCTTGGTCACCGGCAATCTATCAAGCGAGGGGGTGGTGGCTTTGTCTAGTTGTGAGGTGAATATGTGGCTATGACTTCAAGCAGAACACAAGCCCCGTGGTACATCAAGATTGTTGGTCGACTTGTTGGGAAGAAAGGTGGAGACTGTGGAACTGAGGGTTGACAACCATGCCTGCAATAGCACTTGCAAAGAACCACATGCTTTCATGACGAAGCAAGCATATCGAAATCAAACAACACTTCATCGTGAGATTGTGTTGAAGAAGGCAAGATCAAGACCGAGTTTGTCGCCACAAATGATCAATCAAGAAAGGCCTTAGGCAAGGCCAAGTTTGAAGACATGAGAAGCAAGATTGGGATCATGAAGATCAAGGATGGGGAAGCAGGTCTTAGGGGAGAACTGTAGAAGTTAAGTCCTGCTCCCGCTTATCACTTAGTTATCTCAGTGCTTAATTATGTTTCGCTTATTAAGGCCTTGGGCAAAGCACAAGTGATCGTGTGCAAGTACCTGCGATTAGAAGTCTGTTTAGTTAATGCTCTAATGAGCCATCAATGTAATCAATGTGCTACTTATCTCCTATATATGAAAGAGTAGTCGCCTGGGTTTGTAAGCCCTGGCTGATTATTTCTCTGTTACCTCCAACACACACAATGCTACAACGGTTAGCAAAGAAACATGGGAATCAACAAACCATTTTCTCTGGTGCTGCGGCTTTCACAGGAGGAATTATCTGGTGAAGATCAGCATTTTTTGCTGAAAAGATGAGCATCGCTGATGCCATCGTATACAGACACCTTCTACGAGATGGCTGCAAATCACCTTTATTTACAGTGAAAAGGGTAAGTGAAATCAGCAGTAAACTTAGCTGCAATAGATATGATATTTGATATGGTAAAGTAAAATAAGAGAACAGCAGGTTATAAGTTCTTGAATCATCATTTACTTATGCTTTTTTCTCAAATACACAGGAGAGCTGCATATCATTGTATTAAGACATCATTTACTTGTGTAAAAGTGGAAAAGGAAACAAAGCAAAAAGTGAAGGAACACACTTTCATGGCTAAGAGACTTTCTCCTGAGAGAGAACGCCAACTGGAAACAGCGAACTAGTGCCACATGACTGGAGCTCTGCAACAAAAATTTCAGCGGTTACACAGGTCTAAAGAACATGATGATATCGCAGGACCCAATTAGACTGGAAATCTATAAGGGTACTTCATGCTCTCCACATAATAACATATGCAAAAGTGTCTATGCAATAAAAAAATGCCTAGTGGAACAAAGGACAGCTTAACACAAACAGCGAGAATCTTTCTCTTTCTCTGCTCTGTAATTATTTAAGGGCTTCCTTCAGAATAAAACAGTAGCATCCAAGCTCACAGATCTTAGTTACATATGCTTGACATCATTACAAGAAACTAAGAACGAAATGGTTTCTTTGAAAAAAAAAACTTAGAACGAAAAACTTAGAACAAAGTAGCATCTAAGCTAAAAAAATCCCAGACATGTGCTATTTGATAGGTTTGTGGTTTGCCTTGGCTATGGGATAGCAATAATAATGTATCTTGAACCTTGACTTACTTTTGATTTTGAACATAATAAAGCAATGCTGTAGGCAAGGCCCATTGCTTCAAAATTTGCAGGTGAGTTATCATTCAGAGATGCTTGACTCCAAATAGTTGAAAGGAGGAGAACAATCTGGTGGTTGTTCAACTTCATGAATTTTAGGTTCTGCATGGATGGAAGAAAATAAGATGAAAAATCACTTGGGCACTTAAAAGCCCACAAAGCAAGAGAAGTACATATGGCGGCTGGATTTCATACTTCATCATTAAATGCATAATGCTCATTCAGACATGGGCTCCCTGGATACTTCCTTTTATCTGGTTCCATCTGTGCGTATCCATTCTCAGCATCAACTATAGCTTCTGATTTGTTGTTTGCCTGCAAGGATGCTTGGATCTTGTTTTTGGTCCGTGTTTCATTGATTATGGCCTCGGAAGAGAAAGCTGAGAGAACCAACAAATGCAAGTTCTGCGAATCATCACCCTTCATTGGGATAGGAAAGCTCATGCCCGACCATGGACACAGCAATGAAGGTGCTATAATGGTGGATAGAACACGATGTGAACCAATCCTCGTCTTATTGTCTGGGTGCAACATTGCTAACAGAAGCTGGTGAAATAAAGCTTCAGGAAATGCCTGAGATATGCACAAGGAATATCCATTAATATTTTTAAAGCAGAAATTACTTCTCATGCAGTAGTTGGCATGCCAGGCACTTGCCTTCTGATGGTATGATGACTTGTAGACAGACGCTGCTATTTGTGATGTGCGATAAACAGATGAAATTGTTGTTCTTGCGATTGTAGCAGTATGAGAGAGATTCTCAAGCATTACCCCAACCATGTCAAGAATAGGACCAACATCCCCAACCTATGAAGTGATTTGAACAACTTAAAGATCTCAACGAGAGAAAGGTTTAGTTAGTAATAATGAACCAAAGTAATATGATAACCTTTTCTGTCAACTGCACTAGGCACTCCTCCAAGGCCACATAAAGTGCACTGTGCCACTTGTCATCATCAGCATGTGCATTAGACGCTTCAATAGCAAAATGCATACATTTGCGCAAGTGCTTTATTAAGTCACTGATTGCACTTGCTATTGTCACTGATGCCTTCAACTTTGCATGCCTTGCAAGATGTGAAGCAACTTTTACAATATTGATTTGCTTGACAGAATTCTTGGCAATACTTTTATGATCTATGTGCTTTATAGTGAAAGATAACAACAAATGACCATATTGCCCTGGCAATATAAGGGGGAAAACGATGTTAATAGAGTATTCAATTTGTTTGCTGTTGAACGCTGGCAATTGAAAGGCATAATGAAATGGGGGAAAGGAGAAAAAGAAATTACATGGGTGAAAATTGCTGCACCTGATTTGTCCATCAGTTTCTGCATTTCTTGCAGAACAGAAAGGGCAATCCCACTTTCAGGAGACCAATAGTCGTGGCTGTCAAAAAGGCGGAAAACAGGATCAAGAATACGCCGCACAGTTGTGGCCTCCTTGGCAATATTAGCCATATTTCGCAAGCAAACCCTTGCCCAGTGTGCTGGATTTTCAGATGCAGACCTGCTGACACATTAAGCCATTATAGCAGTGAAGAAAGATGTACAAGGCTCTAGAAATGGGGGCATTACACTGGCAGGAGGGCTCACATTGTATCAGATGCCACTTTGGCACTATTTTGTCCAGACACTGGTAACACAGCCAAGTTCCCATTAATGACCAAATCATCATCATCTTGAAATCTGACAACCTCTTTTATTGAGAGTGTTTGATTAGCCTCATGACAGTTTATGATCACTGAGACAACCTGTGTTCAAGAATAATTCAGAATTTAGGCAAAGCACTCCTAGTTTCAGCAATGCTGCTTGAATTCATAGTTGATAAAGTATTGTTTTTCAGCACCCATCAATTAAAATTAGTTCTGTACTCCTTTATATATTAACTAGTCTAGATCTACAATTTTCAGAATTCTAGTAGTCTCTCTAATACAATGAAACGCAGCTCTCCTGCGTTTTCCAAAAAAAAAATCTAGTACAGAGTAAATGCGCTCATTCATATTTTGTTTCCAAGATGCAGATAAGAAAGTTCAAGAACATCTGCTAGAAGTTATCCAGCTATCTTGTAGCAATATAAAAAGCACAGAAGAGATGACCATGAATAAATTAATTATGCACCTAGTAACAATATAAGAGTAACAAAGACTTACTTCATCAAGTTCCATTGAAATGTGTGAGTGGTCACCCATGTATTGGACCTGATTACAAGAGATGGCACGGTTAGATGGTGCACACAAGGCAAAAAGAATATTAGGCACAAGGCATACTGGGTAATTTAGACATGAAGAAGAATATTGACACGAGTAAATACAAGACGCGGGCTGTCAACGGAACAAAACAAAAGCAATGTTTTCCTTTTATCCTACTTCATTATGCTATATTACTGTGATGATATATTTTGCTAGAAAAAAGGATCCTGCAATGCAAAGCAACAAGGAAAACTAAATCTTAGAGACTAAATGTAATATACATATTGGACCTAAAAATCTTCAAATTATAACAATGTAGTCGACGCAATATATCTGCACTGAAGACCTTATACCATTCATAGGAACAATTTTGAAAAAAAAAATGTCTTACCATAGAAGCAAGAGCCTGAAGAGCTGCAGATCGAAGACGGAGCCCTTCATCATCTTCCCTTAATTGTTGACCAATTTTGCAAAGTTTGGGTATGAGACCTTCCAAATTAAACATATGTGTGCTGTCAACCTACAAAACATATCAAATTAAATTAAATATATGGGAACATCTACCAGTAAAAGTAAATTGTTGCAAGTTATGTAAACAACCTGGCCATTGAGGAAGTCAACAAGCATAAGACAACCCAGAACCTGTAGATCATCATGTGCTTTCATATCAAGAAGAGTGCAAATGGTGCTTAATGAGCTTGTGGCTAGCAATGGCCTGAGTTAGGAATAATTATGATAAGCACAGGAGCAAGGGGTGGTTATGAATGCATCATTGGCAGAACAGAACTTTAACGCTTACCTGAGCTCCTTGCATGAACAAAGAAGTTTCCTATAGATGCATGGCACAACTTTGGCCAATGTAAAATTCTCGTGCCTCAGATCTTTATAGAATCTCTGCTCAAGATACTCTGTGATCTGCACAAACAAGACGCAAGTGTGAGTGTCTGACCATAGATCATGGTTTCACCAAGCTCATCCTTTCATTTCTTGACATGTTAGCAATTTAGCATTAAGTACAGAACAAACGCATCAGCTTTTCCATTGTGGTGATTATTCAGTTCAACTCAAAGGATGGAATATACCCAAAGACTTAGCCTTAGATAGGAGTGCTTGGAAGACAGCTATTCACGTGCCTGAACCTTGATTGCTTCTGCTGGGTTTCAACTCTAGCCTACCCCAACTTGTTTGGGACTTAAAGGCTTTGTTGTTGTTGTTGTTTTCCGTTGTGCTTGCACTGTTGCATTCGATTTTTCACTGTCTTGAGTTCAGTCCTAACTACTGGGAACATCTGCAATGGTTGAGTATTTTCATTCTACGAAAAAAGAGGAGGATGTTGAGTGTGTTACCTTTGGTATGCGTGTTGGATTTCTCGAGACATAATCACAGAGCTTCCCAATCCTTCTATCATTTGGCTCTCCATCCTAAAACATCATCAAAACTTCAATTGTTATCCAATTCCCTCACAGTTTGACCACACCCCCAATTGCAGAATACAACTAGGATTGAGAAAATGACTGAAATGCAAAACGCACTGCAGAATTTGACATACCGGTGGCAGCTGGTAGATGTCTGCTATGATCTTCTTGTACCGCTTGACAGGCTGCCGGGAGCGTGCCCGCAGAGAGGGGCAGAAGTAGCAAAGGCTGCTGCAGGCGGGCAGAACCCGCTGTGACATTACCCCCATTTCCCTAGTCTTTTGATTCGATCAACAACGAAAGAACGAGCTGAGCAAGTCGTCTTCTTCCTCAAGCACTCGCCGAACAGGTGGACAACAAAAAGAACGAGCTGACCGAGCCTCCTTGTTGTTACTCTCTTGTAGCCCAAAAATCGAATTTTTTGATGCAATTGGGATCAAACAGCACACGCCAACAATTCACGGCCTAACTCGCCCTGTTTTAGGATGGGTATACACTGAACTAAAACCCTCCAATCCAACTGAGCTCAGGGAGCAGAAACTTTAGCAGCAGCGATTTAATGACCAACCCAACCGCTTCCCACCAGTTGTCGTAGCCAATGCACAGCCTTTCGGATCCAAACCAGACCAGAAAAATTCCCCTTACGTCGGCGGTCGGCCTGAATTTTGACCGAATCTACTTCAACTCGAGATGAAGAAAACCGATTCTTCAGTCAAATCCGACGTGTGGGGATTTGCTGGAAATTATATAAAAAAAAAAGAGAAGCGGAGAATACACCGTTGCGCAGGAGGGCCGCCCGATCAGATCAAGCTCCTGCGAAAGATCACAGCTTTGTTAACGCCGAGGCGCAGATCACGCCGCCAAACGAGGATAAGACGCGGCAACGAGCAGCAACTCGGGCGAGAAAGCCGAAGCGAGGACGGGGACGGATCCACCCACCTGGAGGAGGCCGGAGGCGACGCGATCGCCCCCGCGCGCGCGGCCGGCTCAGCTCAAGCGCTCGACTCAGTCCAGCCCACCGGACGCCGTGCCGCGCGGGTGCCGGCGCGGGTGCCGGCGGCGGTCGCTGCCGCGGCGTGGAGCGGGGGCGGGGGCGGGGGGGGGGGGGGCGGCAGGGTAGTTTAATGCACGGCACCGCAACGGTCGCCTCACCGCAGTCGCTGTAATTCACCGGCCCGGCTGCTGGGAAGCCTGGATGGAGGCTGGAGCGCTGCTGCGCTGCTGGATACTCGTAGCCGGCATGCGGCGCGATGTGACGCAACGCGTGGGCGAATTTTCCCACTGCGCGTGTGGGATGGGAGGGAAGAATATTTCCGGGGGGCTTTTTGGGAAAGAAAAAAGGCACGTTCTGTTTGCCTCTTTTCTGAGGTGCTGACAGATGGGCCTCGTCGGACGCACAAGGCTCAAGGCTGGCTGCCAGCTCGGGCTCGGCGCTGCTTCGGCCGGCCCTGCAGCCTGCAGGTTAGTGGGTGAAAACGCCTCTATGCCCTCGGGGGTTCCGGCTTCCTCGCTCAGCGACAAGTGGAGCGGCGGAGGTGACGAATCCAGAAAAAAAAATTAGGAGGGGCTGAACAAAAGAATAAAGGTTTTTTTATCTTCTTAACTGGTCGCCCGTGCTGTGACTGCTGTCCCCTTTCCACCGATGGCGGAGGGCAGAGTGGGCATTCGCTCTGGAGCCCGTGCTGTGACTGCTGTCCCATATTCCGGATCGCGGGGCTCCAAAGCTGTGTCGCGCGCGATCCGAGCCCGAAGCACGGCAGGAGCAGGAGCAGGAAGGGTTGTGAGCTGGGCCAGACCACCTGTGCCTGTCCTGCCCTTTCCGGTCGTGCACTCGTGGCGGGTGGGCCGAGTGGCGACCGAGTACGTCCTCCTCGTCGTGGTGTGATTGCCCTCTCTGTTGGCCTGTTGGGTGTTGATTGTTGGTGATTAGCCAGCGAGCTTCTTGTTCGTTGGGCGATGATGATTAGTTAGCACTGTAATTAGCTGGGATCTCTTCAGTTGGGTAGTATTCCATGTATTGGTGGTAGCTAGCTTCTCAATGGTTTTTTTATTGCTGACGACGACAGCTGGTGAGCTCGAGCTCGACAGGCAGGCCCTTGTTACTCTCGCTTTGAGAGGTGCAGAAAGCTATAGCTCGGCTCTCGGCACAGGCAATGGACCGATTGCTATAGCTCGGCTCTCGGCACAGGCACATGCCAAAGCTTTCGTGTCTTTTGATGCGCGGAGACAGCAGGAGCAGTAGAAAGAGATGTTTCACACGGCAGACACCAGACAGGACTTGCTGCATGGGGCCATGTAGGCGTACCACATGTGTGTACCGCATGCACCGAGGCGGTTTGATTACGTAACTGTACAAATCTTGCTTGGACCATGGACAGTAGTACAGTAGTAGATGCGATGCCAACCGCGCAGTATAGGCCTCGTTTAGTTTCTTGATATCCTTTCGAATGTTTGACATATTTATGGAGTATTAAATATAGACTAAAAAATAATTAATTTTATAGTTTGCGACTAGTTTATGAGACGAATATTTTAAGCCTAATTAGTCCATGATTTGACAATGTGGTGCTACAGTAACACATACGCTAATGATAGATTAATTAGTCTTAATAAATTCGTCTCGTAGATTACTGATGGATTCTGTAATTTATTTTTTTTAGTATCCGAACACACCATACGACACCTACATATGACACCCGATATGACATCCAATTTTTACACCCTGATTTAAACAAGGCCATAGACAGCAACGGATGTTGCAAGGGGAATGGATATCAGCCGCACAACGTGCCGGCGTATGTTAATTAAATAAATAAATCCGCAGGCAGGATTTAATTTGTTTATATATTACTACAATGGAGGCGACTTTGGTTGATGATCTTGCGTTCTAGTAGCCCGGCCGGCATCGTGAATCCTTCTTTTATGTTATTACTTTTACGCATATTTCTTATTTTTCACTTTACGCTTGATATATATCGAATCACATCAAAGTGTTATCTCGACTAAATTTCGCCCGTTTATACATATCCTAAGGCTAAACACAGCGATATGATGGCAATAGTTTTATCAGCTTCCCCTCAAAAAAAATAGTTTTATCAGCAAATGGTCTGCGCTGCGTCAGAAAGGCAACTAGCCAATACCCCAGGCGTTGCCACGGGTCAACCAAATGCAGCGATTGGTGCGGTATATGATTTTGTTGTACATATAGCCATTGATCCCGTTCGCTCGGAAGAATCTGGATAAATCTAAAGAAATTTATAAGAGCAAAACACTGTTTCAGATTAAAAAAGAAGCAAATCTAAGCCGAATTTAAAGGCACGCGAACAGGGCAAATACAATATCCAGCGCGTTGCCGCGGGTCAACCAAATGCAGCGATTGGTGCGGTACATGATTTTGTTGTACATGTTTGTTGTTTGTGACGCTATAAAGAACATATGTGAAGACTTTAGTTTAACTACCTATTATAAGTACATGAAGAAGAAAGGCTACATCTCCAATAGGTGCTTAAAAGAACTGATGGCAGTATGGCACTTTTCTAATCTTAGGGGTAAGGCTGCAATGGTCGTTGTGAGGTGATTAGCACACAAAAAAAGCTGAGAACTAAAAAGTGATTACAAATGCAGAATCAGATCAGTAACCATAAGTTCACAAACACATTGCTGCAGCCCCGGCTCGTGTATTTTTTCACCTTATTTGTATTGCAATTTTTTAGACAAATAAGCAGAGCCGGGAGATGCAAAATCAAGAACGAAGGAACCAACAATTGTACAACATCATTAATAGAGCAGGTGTGAAAAAAACAATTGGAAAACTACTATTTTAGATGATAACAGAATTGGAGATACAACTGCAATAATCTTTGAGACAGTTTTGGTCAGGGCAATCTTTGTTTAATCAACCAAAATCTCAACATGTCCTGTTGTTGATCCTCCTTACACGTTGTGGGGTATCCAAGAAGTTGAGAACATGACTAACAATCACAATGGATAGCTGTAGCAGTACCTGAGAGAATAGGTCAGCCAGGCAGGTTAGCATGCTCTTTTCAGCATCTCCAGAGATCAGTGTCACAACAAATTTTGCAATGGCGGTTAGAATGCTCTTCTTTTTTCTTAGACACTGCACATGTGTAGTCCCAAATAATTAAAGAACCACAGATACACAATTATTTTCCTACATTAATGTTAACCTAATATGAATTCCAACATTGCATACTTTGACCCAAAAGAATGTGTCTTTGAAAAGGCTAAATAATGACGGGTGTCGGAACATCTTTTGTGAATAAGTTGTGGGAAGGCTTGTATGCGCATCTTAAGAGGCATTTTGTTTTTTGCTAACAATTTGAAGTTTGATTGTTCATGTCAGCATGTTGTCTGTAATATGTATGCACGTACGTACAAACAATGCCCTGCATAGAATCGCAGTGAACGAAAGGAATATCTAATTAAAGCAATTAAAATGTACTGTAAAGATTTTTGTTTTTCTGATTTTGAGAAGCAGGGGAAAATATGGTACCTGAACAGCAGGGTTAAGGAAACTGTGGCTGGGGACAGAACTATTATAAGACGCGTTGATTTGCGAGAAGATGGATAAATGGTTTCCTCTTTCTTTCAGTTTCGAAGCCACTGCACATCAGAAATTAAGAACTATTAACAGGTGGACCCCATTTCAAAATTTAACGCATTGAGGTAGGGTGCAATGGAAAGGTGACCTTTTGAAGCAGTCGGAGCTTGCCTGATGCAGCAACCAATGAAAGGAAAGCATCTTCTGCTTGGTATTTAGTTTGAAATTCTTGAAATGACATAGTAAGGATAGCTGCAAAGATTTAGGATTGCAGTGTTCGAAAGGCAAGATAACCTTTTTTGTGAAACCCAACCGAAGCTGTACAATCAGGGATGTTCCATTCTGGCATAGAAGAATTACGTTATGCAGAAAATATTCAAAGTAAATTAGGAATGGATAATAGGGAGGAATTAATGAGAAACTGTAAAAAGCAAACATTTGAGTGATCTAACATGCACGCGACAGTATTGTATGTCGATACCTTCGGAGCACCTGAATGAATTGAAGCGAAATGTCATTAGTCTAACATTAAAAAATGCTCCCAAGTTAGTCCAGACTTCTGTATTAGGCAACCTGGGATAAAACAGGGAACTAACTATTGTATTAGATGTCAAAGTCATTGGCAATTCGATGGAACCATATTATGAACACAGAGCATTGTAGATGCAGGTAAATGTGAATGAGGCAGGACCTATAGAAGGGAAGAGT